GTGATAAGCCAATGAGTCTATTAAAGGCTGTGGTTGATTGGTGATTAGTAAATAAGACTGAGAATCATAATAAAACTGAGGAGTGTTCTGTGATGTGATTGGCTGTCCATAACTCTACAATGATTGGCTGAGGAACTGCCTAATCTCCCCAATGATTGGCTGAGGAATGTTCTAATCCTCACCGCTGATTGGCTAATGTTAATTACAGCCACACTCTCATGGCATAGAAGGACTTCCCAAACTATGCACTATTTAGCAAGGAACAGGCAGAGCCAACAAGGTCATTAAGGGCAGGGCGGGAGGGGGTTGGGTGAGAGGTAGCCCCAATTACATAGTTTCGTGGGTCGTGGGTAGTTAAGGTGTAGAGAGAGTAGCTAAACAAGGTGATTAGAGAATGACTGTCATTAATTACAGTTTGCTTGGCTTGTTTGCATACATAAACAAACTACCTACAGTATGCACATAAACATCACCTGACCCACATAAACATCACCTGACCCACATAAACATCACCTGACCCACATAAACATCAGCTGACTCACATAAACATCACCTGACCCACATAAACATCAGCTGACTCACATAAACATCACCTGACCCACATAAACATCACCTGACTCACATAAACATCACCTGACCCACATAAACATCAACTGACTCACATAAACATCAACTGACTCACATAAACATCAACTGACTCACATAAACATCAGCTGACTCACATAAACATCACCTGACCGACATAAACATCAGCTGACCGACATAAACATCAGACGCCGCGGATACAGCCAATTTTACGATCGCTTCCGTCTCTTAGTTCCCATAGTGGTCGTGTGTGTGTGTGTGTGTGTAAGTACTTGGGGAGTATATTGGCTAGTTTGAGGTGATTACTGTCGGTCTTGTGTTGTTCGAGGGTGTGGTTGTTAATCTGGGTTGTTCGAGGGTGCGGTTGTTAATCTGGGTTGGAGGGTGCGGTTGTTAATCTGGGTTGGAGGGTGCGGTTGTTAATCTGGGTTGGAGGGTGCGGTTGTTAATCTGGGTTGGAGGGTGCGGTTGTTAGAGGGTGCGGTTGTTAGAGGGTGCGGTTGTTAGAGGGTGTGGTTGTGATTGAATGTAAGAGACACTAATTGCACAAACTGATGAGAGGAGAAAGAGATAGACGAATAACAACAGGAAATAACCGATAAAGACAAGGGGTAAGAAAACGGGAGATTATTATAACCTTGATAGGCCGCCAATTTCACCTGTTCAAATGACGTTAAATTGAATCAGTTTATTTAGCCAGAAAAACGCAGATACAGAGTGGATAATGATAATACTATTAACATGCCTGAGCCAGTTGAGAACCCGAGCTGCACCTGATATATACTATACATTTATCTCAAGAGTTGAATGAAGGAAAGGGAAGACGAGAGAGAGAGAGAGAGACCCCAATTTGACACATTGATCAACCACACCTGTTTAATCTGCCTCCTGTTGATTTAATAACTGTTTAATCTGCCTCCTGTTGATCCAGCTTC